TTTGCTCACAAAAAATGTTTTGACAACTCGTTCTGAGCTGAAATTTTGGATACAAACAAATTAAAGGGAATTAGTTGCTGTGATTGAGCAATTATTTAATGTTTAATTTTTTTTAATAACGATCAAGGTCATCAATAAAACGAACTAAAAAAAAATTGAACGTGTACCGATCGTACAAGCCTGCAGTCTTAATATTATAATACGTTATGTTAATTACCACCATAGATATATTTGTCAGAAACACGTGATTTAGGCCCTTATTACGGGTGTCACTTTACGGTGAAAACGAAGTGAAGTGGTCACTTGTAATTCACGGTCAAGTGATTGCCGTGTAAATCAAATGGGAATCAGTTCACCGTGAGTGATAAGTTGTCACTTCACCGTAAAGTGACATCGGTAATAAGGGCCCTTTTCCGTATTGAGTACCAATGCTACCGACGCCAGGAAGACAGCTCTCACACATAGACTCTGGAGGCGACCCCGACGTAGTGGTTAGCATCCACACCTCTTACGCCAAAGTCACGAGTTCAAATCTCACCCCCAGACAAGCCACGAATGACCCAAGAGCGTTAAAGTGACTATAATTAAAAAACCCGAATTTATCCACCTATGGTGTGATCAGACCCTTCTTACTTATTCAAGTTTATTTATTTTATTGTCATTATCAGTGACCAAGCCCCCCACCCCCGTGTCATCCAGTGACGCTACGCCACTGCCTGGGGTACCCGGAACATATCCGGGTGTAGTCTATTTGGTGAGCAACTCAAGCAACTTCCTCGGGGTACCCGGAACATGTCCAAGTGTGTCCAATGTGGTCTGGAACACTTAACACAACTTGCATTGATCTTATTTTTGAATTCTGTAGTTATTTGATGTGTCGTATGATGGTTTTGATACGTTTTCCGTTAAATCCAGCGTGAAGGCTCATATTCACCGGATCTTATTCCGGCCATATCTCCGGAACCGGTTCACCAAAACCGTTCAATAGCGTTCAATGGGACCCCAAGACCTATCATTTGGCGCCGAGTTTGTCCAAATCGGTTAAGCGGTTGCTGAGAAACGTGAGCGCATTCATTTCATTACATACACACACACATACACACATACACACGTACACACACACAAACAGACATGTTCCGATCTCGTCGAGCTGAGTCGAATGGTATATGACACTCGGCCCTCCGGGCCTCGGATCGATAGTCGGTTTTTCAAGTGATATCTATACCCTTCTTTGTAAGAAGGGTAAAAACATAGACTCTACCTATACATACATACTTATGGACAGGGGACCAACGGCTTAACTTCTGTGAACAATTGACGGAAAACATATTATGTGTAATTCTTTAAATTTGTCGAACCTCTTAACGGAATCCCTTTATGAAGAGCTTTGAGTGGGTTGGTTTATTTCCTTTTAATTCCGTTATAATTGCTTATCTTTTGACAGATACGCGTATTTCGTCTACTACTTGCAGACTTCATCAGTGCCAAGTACTCAACACCACTGAAGAATCCATCTTTAATCTACGAGTTATATACTAATCAATAGGTACTAAAAATCAGATTTTATTGCAGTCTGGACAAGAGATTTTGTAGACTCCGGCTTTCCCTAAGACATTAATTGAATCTTTAGTTGATCCTAACAGTGACTTCAGCTGATTTATCCTACTGCTGAATACTAAATCGAGGCCAAAACTTCTAAACTTTGAAATCAATGGTTTGGTAATGTTTTTGTCGAAATTCACCGCTACCCGTTTTAAACCCTCAGTTACTGGTGTAAGAGTTGTCGAAATACGCCTAAAATGATCCCTTGTTCTTTTATCGATTACTGCTTGAATTAATTATATGATTAGAGTAGTAGCTACACTGAAGATCCGAGAGATGTCGCCCCTTCAGTGGTAGGAAAATCATTTTTGCAGTATGGAGAATATCAGAAAATCCGCGATTTGTGACTAAACATGCTTTCACAGAAGGAAACAAATAAACGAGTGTTTACCTTATCACCATAGTAATGTACACGTGCAATTTTTGTGCTTCTAAAACTGCCCATAGAGACGACAATGAATAAAAACTGAAAATATTCATGCATTTCCAAATGCTTTCCTACCATTCCCATACATTCGAAGTGACTGGCCCTCTGGATGTGGATGATGTCAAAAACAACAAAGTCTAGCGATTTCAAAAATGTGAGCTATTTCCTTTGATTTGCCTGTATCGCTAAGAGGAAGAGTTTGCATCCTGTGAACCATGTGGTGAAAAGCGGCCATTTTGTGTTGATGGGAATGGTTTGAAGTGCTTGGTATTACTCTCTTTGTGTTTGTTGGTTTCCTATAGATTTCGAAATTGAACGAAGACGTTTCCCTGATGATGAGAAGATCTAAGAAGGGGAGTTCGTTCAATTTCGAAATCTATAGGAAACCAACAAACACAAAGAGAGTAATACCAAGCACTTCAAACCATTCCCATCAACACAAAATGGCCGCTTTTCACCACATGGTTCACAGGATGCAAACTCTTCCTCTTAGCGATACAGGCAAATCAAAGGAAATAGCTCACATTTTTGAAATCGCTTGACTTAATAGGTATCAAGAAAAAACAATTCAAGCAGTAATCGATAAAAGAACAAGGGATCATTTAAGGCGTATTTCGACAACTCTTACACCAGCAACTGAGGGTTTAAAACGGGTAGCGGTGAATTTCGACAAAAACATTACCAAACCATTGATTTCAAAGTTTAGAAGTTTTGGCTTCGATTTAGTATTCAGCAGTAGGATAAATCAGCTGAAGTCACTGTTAGGATCAACTAAAGATTCAATAAATGTCTTAGGGAAAGCCGGAGTCTACAAAATCTCTTGTCCAGATTGCAATAAAATCTACATTGGTCAGACGAAAAGGACTTTGGAAACAAGGTTTAAGGAACACATCGCAGAGGTAAAAAAGGCTAACAAAGAGATGGATAAAGGGCTTCATTATGAATTTAAATCCAAAGTTGCAGAACATATCGTTAAAAAGGGGCACAATTTGACTAAGGAAAACATTAATATCCTGCGGACTGTATCTTCACCTTGGAAACTAGACGTAGCCGAAAGTCTAGAAATATTTAAACATAATCCATCAACATTGCTTAATAGAGATCAAGGAAACGGATACTCGAGACTCTTTAGCATGCTACCTAAAACAACACATCGTAGCATGCCTCTACCTGTTGGAGAATGAATTTAGGTACCTGTTTAGGTAAATTTTGACATGGCAGTGGATACCTGCTGATTTTTAGTACCTATTGATTAGTATATAACTCGTAGATTAAAGATGGATTCTTCAGTGGTGTTGAGTACTTGGCACTGATGAAGTCTGCAACGAGGTCTGCAAGTAGTAGACGAAATACGCGTATCTGTCAAAAGATAAGCAATTATAACGGAATTAAAAGGAAATAAACCAACCCACTCAAAGCTATTCATATTATGTGTAGTTTCCGACAGATGTCACCGCAAACAACAGCAGTGACATCTGATGGAAAATGAAGCTTGACTAAATGGTTAATAATTGATGAAAAGTTCAATTTGAACTATATTTTGGTTGTTGGTTGTAGTTTTTTTTTCTCACAGAATGCATCACCCTCCGTGGTAGTCAAGCAGTATTAATAGCAGTATTATCGTTAATTCGTAATTAATTCGTATAATAGCAGTATTACCGTTAATTCGTTAATTTCTCAACAATTACAGACTTATATGCAGGTACTACTAAAAGATGCGCAAAGAATATCCGCCTTTGGCAGTGCATAATTGATAGGGTTACTTTCTCAGATCCAAAACTAACAAGCTCATCAGGAAGCACATACATTTCAAGGTAGCTGCCCCCTACATATGACTACTTTTTTTTTTATTTTTTTATTTTTATTTTTTTTTTTATTTTTTTTTTTATTTTTTTTTTTTTTTTTTTTTACTACTAGCATATGCGACTTCCACTAAAATTTTAGAATTTCTCATTTTCAGTATGCTGTGGAATTTTGGCGTCTTCGGAAGAGTTGTTGTCAAAAAAAGTAAAAGCAAACAACTTTACCTATTTTTTTTTGCTAGATAGTGTGCTTTTGTCAAAAGATAGTCCTTATCCACCTGAACAACGTTGTCCAAGACACCATACCTCTAGGATGCATGGGTGGAGCGCTACGATTTTTGACCAACCAAAGTACCATTCTGCTCCAGTGTGCGTTGTAGGACATCACATCACGATGTGGCATCATACAACACGTCAAAACATCATGCCAAAGTCGTGTGGCGAATGTCGACATGTTTTTTTTTTTATATCTTTATTAAGGAGACTTTGGCTAGTTCGTCTCCGCACATGATGTTTTGACATGCTAGCAGATGCAACACCTCTGCCACATAAGTGGGCACCTTGACTTACGCTTCGTCAAGACCGCAGCAGGAAGGGGTAGGGTAGCTGGACCATGAACTGCAGTACGTCGTTGGCTGGTTCCCAGAAGAGTCCTAGAGTCGAAACTGCTTGCTTATATTGCAGGTCATGTAGAGGTTTGTGGGCCAGATATTCCTGGAGAACCTCGAGTATTTGATGTCCACTTCTTGATTGGAAATCCAGCTGCACTAAGCATCTTTGTGACCTACTTGCGAAGCAGGATGGCAGATTCTACATCGTCGGCATCAGCCAGAAAATCATCGACGTAGAAACCGTGGATGACCGCTTCTACAGCACTGAAATTAATCTCCAATATCCAGACCGATCTGCTTTATAAGTTCAAGAAACCATGTACATATACGTTAGCACTTGTACTTGGAGCCTCCTGAAGTTCTGCACTTGGGAATTCAGAAAGGTCTATGAACACTACAATCTGGTTGTACAGATTGCCCCATGGCCCCATTAAAGACCCTACGCAATGAAATCTCAAAGCTCCAAGACCAGTTCAAACAGGCTTGCATATGGAATATTTCATTCCAACATCCCAAGAGTTTCTCAACTTTTCCCAAATCGAAGACTAATAGACCAGCTTTGAAAATAAACCACTTTATTTCCATAATCTAAATTAGTAAGCCAAAGTATGATAATCGATTACACTAATAATATTACAACTATACTTACTACGTTGCAGTTTACTCTACCTTCGGATGCATCCGTTGCCTGTGCTTGATAAGGGTACTGGAATCGATGAACCGCTGACCGCACGGGACACACTCGTATGGCTTCTCTCCGGTGTGGATACGTCTATGAATAACCAAGGTTGTGTTTCGCTTGAACATTTTGTGGCAAAACTCGCACTCAAAGTTCTTCTCATCCGAGTGAACCAGCGCATGGCGATCGAGGCTGTGCTTGTGGATGAACGTTTTCAGACAGATGTCGCATTGGTAGGCCGGAGCGTTCAAGTGCTTAGTTTCGTGATCCTTGAGAGTGAGTTTCTTCTCGAACTTTTGACCACAATGAGAGCAAACGTAGAGGTTCTTGTTCTCGCGATGGGTATTGTACTGGTGCTTTCGAAGTTTCGGCTCAGTGGAGAATTTCTTGCCGCACTGGTCACATTGGAACAGTTCCAGTGTCAACTGGTGAATTTCAGACAGATGCTTGAGCAACATATGATCCAGGCGGAATTTCTTGTTGCAAATCTTGCAAGTGTTATCATTAGGATCTTTCTTGTTGATTGGTATCGGCTGTTTCTTTGATTTCTTATGGAAAGCTCGATGGCGAATACATTTTTCGAATGTAGTAAACTTCTTCGGGCAAATGTTGCATGAGAAGAGTGGTATATTGAAGTCTTCGTGTTCTTTCTCAATATGCCGAGCCAAACTGCTATTACTGTCGAGTTTTTTGCTGCAAACTTGACATGTCAGTGGTGGTTTAATTTTCAAATCTCGGTCATCGTCGACATCTTCCAAGATTAGCGCATCCGGGTCCGGCTTAATTTTCCTCCGTCTGACAAACACCTCATCGTCGTCACTGCCCTTGTTGCAGCGTTTATTCTTCAGGTGACGAGCAAGATTGCAAGCATGTGTGAATGCCTTGCCACAGGTGCCACACACATTGGTCTTCCGGCCAGTATGCCTGGACTCGACCGGGTGAGCCTGACGTTGATGGGCCTTCAAATGGCTTTGCAGCTCGAAGGTTTCCTCACACATTGGACACTTAAAAGATTTGCACGTCAAATTGTGATTGGCCAAATACTGTTCCGAACAGTAGCGGCGTGGGCAATAGAGACAAACAAATTCATACACGTGAGATATGTAATGCTTGTTCACCTCTTCCAAAGTATCGAAATAACCCAAACACTTGTCACAGTGGAAAGGAAGCATATCTGCGTGAGCATTAACCAGGTGACTTGAAACATCACCGAAGTTGTCGAAACGATCCAAACAGACGTAACAACACGGAATTGTCTTATCGTAGTATCCAGTGTCCTCATCAACGGCAACGTCTTTCAACGTATCGTCTTTCTCGTCCTCGGTCTTTTTAAATTCGTCCTCTTTTGCTTCTTCAGTCAAATATTCCTCCTGCATGCGATTTTCCTCCTCCATGGGTACTTCCTCATACACGTACTCCTCCTCCACCGTTTCGTCCATTGTATGGTGGTCATTATCCGCAGCGATTCCATCACTGACGGAATCCTGATCGTCTTCCTGCTTAATGATACCGTCGTGGTCTTCGCTTTTAATAAAAAATCCTGCGCCTTCATCTTGCACATATTCAATTTCCGTGTTTTCGATTACCATTCCATCAATAATATACGCTGCTGTAATTTTTTGCGCCTTAGGAGGACTCGGCTTTTCAGATTTTGGGCGTCCTTTCTTCGGCGTTGGAATCGGTTCCGGATAGTGAATCCGTTTGTATTGTCTGAGTGACGGTAATTATGCAAGAATAAAACATCAAAATATTAATATCAACCCAACCCCTGTCAAAACTTACGTCCACATAACATCGAATATCTTGTTGCTGCCGATGAACTCGTTCCGGATATTCTCGATTAATCGAATCTTCACCACACAATTGGAGCAAGCGCTTAGGAACGGACCGCAGTTGGTTAGCTGTAATCCCAAGGAAAACAATAAAAATTCGATCGCAAACATTCCCTACAAAGCATCAACAAAAGTCACCTCAATCTTGAGCAAGCCTTCGATTACATTCTTCAGCTCGTCCTGGCTGAGCGCGTCCACCATTGGACTGATGTCTTGATCGTTCGCCAAACACAACCGGCAGGTGCGATCGGTCAGCTCGATCGGATGACCCGTTGTTTCCGGTGGCATCTTGCCGCTGAATATAAGCTCACAAGTAAAATACTAAAATTTAGCACATAAAAGCCGTAAAAATATACAAGCTTCGCACAAATTCCCCCGATGATGCTCAAAATGGAAACGCGATGCGAAAAGATTTGACAGCTTCTTCGAACACAAACGACAAAAAGTCGTTAATCGTTCAACTGTCAAAACGTGGCTGTCATGAGAGGGCAAAGTTAGCCCGTTTTTTGTTCTTTTTTTTTGTAATACACACTCAAAAACGTAACTTGACAAAGATTAAAATTTAATCATATAAGGTTTAGCAATGTTTATAATACATTGACTCGTTTAAAATTCACCTTCAAAACTATAGAAATTACCCTAATAAAATTTAAATAGTTATTTTGCTTAAGGATGTGTTCAGGGTATCATCTAAACCCTTTGTAGAATAATTCTATCATTTGGGTTATCGTTCGGGTATGGTACACACTTAGAAAAAAATACCGACTTCGGTAATTCATTTACCGAATTATCAACAGCTGAACGGTCGGTAATGTTTTCGGTAATCGATAATCAGCAACATTGGCTGTCAAATTTACCGAACGATTTGTAACGTTTACCGAAATAACAAGCTTGATTTGTAGTCGACTTTACCGGAGGACTGTAGCACACACGAAGTGACAGACGGAGCGGCTCGAAAACTTTGGCGACTAACCTGCTATTGCTTTTTTTCAGTGTACTACATGGCAACACCACTACTACTGGATTGTACCACATGGCAACACTACTACTGGATTGAACTAGCATTTTCACCAAATGTACTAGAATGTTTTGGTTCTATCTCTTTCACTCTACTCAAAACTGAAATGCATAAAAAAATGACAAAATGATACGCACTCTTTGCACACTGTCAAAGAATCATTGTACACAAAATCAACTTTGTTCAAATCAAAACAAAAAAACTAACCCATCTGGTGGATGATGGCACAAGCTTCCAAGAAAATTCTATTACAGTGAACCACATTATTTCAATGGATTTCTTCGCCAGTTAGTCGTCTGTCACTTCGTTTGTGATAGTAGTGTTGCCATTTGGTACAATCCAGTAGTAGTGGTGTTGCCATGTGGTACACTGAAAAATTACAATAGCAGGTTAGTCACCAAAGTTTTCGAGCCGCTCCGTCTGTCACTTCGTTTGTGACTAGATTGAACTAGCATTTTCACCGAATGTACTAGAATGTTTTGGTCCTATCTCTTTCACTCTACTCAAAACTGAAATGCATAAAAAAATGACAAAATGATACGCACTCTTTGCACACTGTCAAAGAATCATTGTACACAAAATCAACTTTGTTCAAATCAAAACAAAAAAACTAGCCCATCTGGTGAATGATGGCACAAGCTTCCAAGAAAATTCTATTACAGTGAACCACATTATTTAAATTGATTTCTTCGCCAGTTAGTCGTCTGTCACTTCGTTTGTGTTATTTTAATTGATTGTCAGCTAGTCGTCTGTCACTTCGTTTGTGGTTAAAGTGACTTTAATAATAAAAAAAATATATATATATAATAAAAAAATAAAAATGTTTACCGTTTTCGTTAAATTGAAATAAAATCAACGAAATTCGGACATTTCATTTACAGTTTTCGGCAATAAAGCTAAAAAATACCAAAACATCTGTAATTTTAAGGATTACCGATCTAAGACGGTAAATTTTTTACCGAACTCAGGGTGTCTGTTTAAGTGTGTACTTTTTAATTAGGGTAGTGACACAGAACAGAAGGAGAAGTGCAAACAAATCGGTGAATCAAAAAGTGGTTCGTTTTTCTGCTCAACAAGCGATGTGTGTGGTAGCGTTCCACGCGGGCTTCCCTAATAAAAATAACCATAAACGAACGATAACCCAAATCATTGAACTATTCCACAAATGGTTTGGATGATACCCAGAACACGTCGTTAAGCAAATTAACCATACAATTTTTATTAGGGTTTCTATGTGCTCTCACACTATCATCACAAACGAAGTGACAGACGACTTACTGGCGAAGAAATCCATTTAAATAATGTGGTTCACTGTAATAGAAGTTTCTTGGAAGCTTGTGCCATCATCCACCAGATGGGTTAGTTTTTTTGTTTTGATTTGAACAAACTTGATTTTGTGTACAATGATTCTTTGACAGTGTGCAAAGAGTGCGTATCATTTTGTCATTTTTTTATGCATTTCAGTTTTGAGTAGAGTGAAAGAGATAGAACCAAAATATTGTAGTACATTTGGTGAAAATGCTAGTTCAATCCAATAGTAGTGTTGCCATGTGGTACAATCCAGTAGTAGTGGTGTTGCCATGTGGTACACTGAAAAATTGCAATAGCAGGTTAGTCACCAAAGTTTTCGAGCCGCTCCGTCTGTCACTTCGTTTGTGCTATCATAGCATGCTGCCTATCTTAACTGCAGACAGAAGATGCCTTCTACCGCTAGGTGCGCTAGTGTTCGCAAATGACAAGTGGAGCCACTTTCTGATCCGAAGTTCCACTCCTGTGGTAGTGACCTAAGAGGGAGAGGAGACAACTGACTTCTTAAGGGCCACCCACAGTAGATCCGTTTGCGTTGCGTTGACGATAATTTGACAGTTAGACAATATATTTAGCAGTCACTTTGCCGCAACGCGTCCGATCCGGATCTAATGTGCGTGGGCCTTTACTCTTTTATCTCTATCTCTATCTAAATCGATCTCTATCTTATGTACTTCAAATCGGCCAATCACGAGCTGGTTCGCGTTTGACAGAAAAGTGGTTCGTTTGCACCCCCGTATTGTCTCCTCTTCTCTTAGGTAGTGACGTTTAACGCACGCACACTAAAGGGCTTAACACAATGATACCGGTATAGCGGCAATCGCCAATTTTCCAATACACTGAAATCTGTTTGACAACCCACAATGAGCGCGTTGCGGTAAAAGCGACATTGAACACAGGAAAAAAAAGTTGTTGAATATTACATCCAAACTGCTGCAACCAAGCCAATCCATCGGTTGTGTAATATAACGTTGTACGATGTGCATCAATTTTGCGAACAAAATTACATCCATTGATGTAGTATTGTATCTGCTTTTTGCTATTACATCATTATTTCATACATGAGCTTGAATTACATTGATCGATATTACATTTTTTTGCTGTGTACTAAAACGCATTTTTTTTTCAACATTTTGGAAAAACGCGGTGCGGTTGAGCGGCAGCCTGAGAAGTGCTCAACATTTTCAGTTGTATTTTTTGTAATTTTGAGCTAACCAGAACCTACCGTGAACCAAATAGTCATCCAAGGTCGTAGTATGTAATCAGAATCATGCATCCGGACATATTTCGAGTACCCCCGGGGAACTGGTCAGATTCTTATTGAACCAACACCCACATACGACACATCAAATTACATGATAATTCAAAAATATGATCATTGGTGGCCATATTAAGTACTGAAGACCACGTTGGCCAAATCTGAACATGTTCCGGATACCCCCGGAGAAGTGAAACTTGAACCTACATGACACATTAAACTACACACCAAATTTCGTAAATTGTGTCGGTAATTTTTTTTGCTGAATTCATCCTGTAAAATATAATTTTTACCGATAGTTTTGTGAAAGGTATTGTTTTACCATCTTTCCGCAATGAAAAATACCGAATTTCTGTAATTTACAGAAAATTACCGAAAACTGTTAACTAATATTGCTGATCGAAACTGTAAGGCTGTGTTCCATTTGGAAAATTTTCACTTAGATTTGACAGTTCGAAAATAAATTAAGATGTTCGAAAATCCCTCTGTTGTTGATCGGCTGATTTTCGAGAAAGCGTATGTCAAAATTGATTCCTTGTCGGTCAGAAATAAGTCTGCTGGAATAGCAGGTTTATTTGAAAAATTTTCAAATTTAAGTAAAAATTTACCAAATGGAACACAGCCTAAATGGCTTAAATTTTACAATACAGTAAAAAAAAATGTGACGAACGTACTGTAAATAAAGCCTTTCACCAAAATAAACGGCAGTGAAGTGCCACATTCTTGTAAAAATTACCGAATAGATATGAAAAATTCGTACTGTCATCCTTGCTGTCAACCTCAAACTTTGCCACCATTTTGAGTTTGAGTGGTCTTTGTTTCTCCGGTGAGAAAAGTAAGTACTTATGTTTTATTGCTATAATCTATGTAATCTATAGTGAACGGAACTTTATTTTGCATTCAATCCTAGGTCAATCACTTCTAGTCACCAGTCATCATGGACGATAAGCAACCGAAAGTCTTCAACTACCATGAAAAAACAACTAATATGTGCGCAGTTTTTAATAATCCTCCTTCATATCCCAGTTTAGCACCGATAACTTTATCCATGTTCGAGGTCTCTGTTAAACACAATATGTATACATACGTATAAAAATAAAAGTATGTATGAGTCATAAAACCTGTTTGCATTGTTTTTATCATCAAATTTAAAGAAAACAAAAAAAAAAAACAATAAACTTTAACAAAATGGTCGGTAAACAAATTACGGAACGCAATAGCACCATAGAGGTAACTCTAAGACCAGAAGGTCCCGAAGAAACGAGCTCTACTTTTTGGCTCAGCTCTGGTACTATCTTCGGTCCCAAGCTAATCAATGCACCTCTCGAAACTTAGGAAAATCCACGAACCCCTCATTTTATCTGTCAAACTTTCATAGCGAATCAAAACAAACATAGTGTAGTACTTGAATTTATACTAGAATGGGGTACGTTAATCGATTTGCATGGGATCAATAGGCTAGTCAAGTAGTGAGCCAATTTAAAATCGTTAGTTTCGAATTGATTGTTGATAGCACGCTATTGTACACTTTACCAATCATTCAGCAAAGTTTACAATGTGGTTCAGTATATTTTGACAGGTGAAAAGCAAAGATAAATTTACTGAGTGTACTGTAAAACAACAAAAAATTACCGAACCGATTACCGAATGTTCTGCTGTTCCGTATTCGGTAAAAAATTACAGTGCACTGTAAAAACATCTTAGTGTGTATATGAGAATTAAAAAATAAGAACATTGGTGACCATATTAAGTACTCAGGACCACACTGGCCAACATGTTCCGGGTGCTCCCGGGGAGTTTCATAAATTTCCTGAAATTTTCCTGAGGCCAATGGAACTTTTCTAGAGTTCTCGGAACTACTCTGAAGTTCTCCTCAGAACAAATTTGAAGTTCTCGTCAGAACTACTTTAAACTTCCCCTCAAAACTACTCTGAAGCTCTCTTCAGAATTACTTTGAAATTCTCCTCCGAACTACTCTGAAGTTTTCCTCAGAACTGAGTTCTCGCCAGAACTACTCTGAAGTTCTCCTAAAAACGACTCTAGATCTTCGATGAACTTTTCAACATTTTCAACAAATGTTCAAAGTTGTCCGAATATTCTGTTGAAGATCTTTAAACTTTCTCGCTAGTCTGGACTTCCCTAAAGATATATTTACTTCCCCAAAAGTTCTTATAACTTCTCAATAAATTAGAGTTGTCTGGACTTCCCTTAGATTCAAGGAACTTTCCTTAAGCTCCCGCAGTTTTCCTGATATTCATAACTCCTCTCCGAAGCTCTCGATATTTTCCCATGGTTCAAGGTACTTCTTCAAAGTGCTTCCACATTTTTTTTAAGTTAATGCAAATTCAGAGATGATCACTGAACTTCGGAGAGTTTCAAAGCCCCTTGGATATTTTTACAAGATTTCAGATTGATTAATTATTCAGCAGACCTTCTACTGATCTTTCAGAGATTATTGCGGGTTGCTTTGGTTTTTAGACTGATGTGAAAATATTTGATATTTGAAAACATATGCTCACACTTCAAAGTACAAAGGGAATAGCAGGTAAACAAACCGATTATTCGATACGCCACCCTAGAATGCGCCATCGCTACATGAAACTGTAGTATCGAAATGAACCAATGTATGCTGAAAACGGTGTGAACATTTTGTGGTGTGACAAAATTATTCTGCTGGAAATCTAATTGGGGGCAAAATATGCAATGGAATGCGGCAACGCGGCAGCGGTACAGAGGTTAGCGAGATTTTAGTACATTGCGCGTTTGCCGCTGTGCCACTATAGCGCTATGCAGCTGTCATTGTGTTCAGCCTTTAATGGGTGCATCGCCGTGTATAGATTTCTCTGACGTTTTTGAATTGCACAAGTATTGGTGTAGAACTTTGGGTGAATTCAAAGGTTTTCTTGCACTAATGCACTAAAACAATCAATACTAAACTAACGATTTTAAATTGGCTCACTACTTGACTAGCCTATTGGTCCCAAACAAACGATTAACGTACCCCATTCTAGTACTAAACAATGTTTGTTTTGATTCGCTATGAAAGTTTGACAGATAAAATGAGGTGTTAGTGGATTTTCCGATTCTATAACATTCCCCAGAAAACCATTCCCCAGAATGAACCATTCTCCAGAATGTACCATTCCCCAGAAAAGTATACCATGTATTAGATTGACTATTTTTTTTTATTATAGTCACTCCTGGAATCTTCTTTCGCGTATATAAAAAGAATAGAAAAAAATCATAATGGATCAAGGGGTTTTCCTTTCTTTTAAAATATAAGAAAAGGAAATGATTAATTCTTTGGATATACGATAAAGAAGGGAATATTCCCTTCTTTTAATATATAAAAGAGGGCATAATTAATTCGTCAAATATATGATAAAGAAAGGAATATTCCCTTCTTTGAAAATATAACAAAAGGAAATAATTAAATCTTTGGATAAACGATTATTAATTCAATGGATATACGATAAAGAAGGGAATATTCCATTCTTTTAATATATTCGGGGTAATGCCCATTCGGGATAATAACGTGTGGAATAATGTTATAAATTTGTAATCGGTAGTTCAACCACCGACAAACCGACATGAATGACCATAGCAAAAACAATAAAATTTCTGACCAAAGCACACTACTGACATCTGGCTCCGTGTTCGCGGGAAATATTTAGCTAAATCATGAACCCCCATGCAAAAGTTATGAATTGGTTCGTGTCTGATCTATTGTGGACAAATTATTTTTATCTAGATCAAAATATCCTATGGATTTGACAGTTCGGATCACTGCGCATTTAAATCGGCCGTTTACGATTTTCGGACATTAGTCAGAATTTAGTGTCATGTCGGTTTGTCGGTGGTTCAACGTTTCATGCACCGATTTTTTAATCCATCACGAGAAATTCTTCAACTCAGGTCGAACAAATCTTCGATAAGGTTTAACAGTTTCTGACTGGTTGAATTGGATTGCATAATAGACCCTTTGACTTTTTAAATGATGAACGAAGTGCTCGAAAACTTGAAGGTTGTCATTTTCTAAAGAGCTATAAAATGGTTTGGAATTGATAAATACATAGTTCCATAAAAGTAATAAATAAAATATGTATATTAAACTTTTAAGCTGATTAACAGAACATATAAAACTGAAATATAATATCAAATAACCAAAAAAAAAGTAATAAATTACTAATTTCATCATCTTTTCTGGGGAATGCTTTTCTGGAGAATGGTACATTCTGGGGAATGTTATAGAATCGATTTTCCTATGTTTCGAGGGGTGAATCGATTAGCTTGGGACCGAAGAGGGTACCAGAGCTGAGCCAAAAAGTTGAGCACGTTTCTTCGGGACCTTCTAGTCTTAGAGTTACCTCTATGCTAATACCATAGAGGTAACTCTAAAACAAGAAGGTCCCGAAGAAACGAGCTCAACTTTTTGGCTCAGCTCTGATACTATCTTCGGTCCCAAGCTAATCGATTCACCCCTCGAAACAAAGAAAAATCCACTAACCCCTTATTTTATCTGTCAAACTTTCATAGCGAATCAAAACAAACATAGTGTAGTACTGGAATTTATACTAGTATGGGGTACGTTAGTCGATTTGCTTGGTACCAATAGGTAAAGAGCCTGAATTTATAAAGAGACGACATCTTATCCATTTGACAGGTCTTCCGCTCGATTGGAATGACTTTTCCTACGACTTTGACAGACAATCGATTGTTCCAATTTTGACATGTCGTCTCTTTACAAATTCAGGCTCTTTACCAATAGGCTAGTCAAGTGGTGAGCCAATTTAAAATCGTTAGTTTCGTATTGATTGTTGCTAATACCCTACATTTACCCCAAGTTCTGCACTAATACTTGTGCATTTCACAAACGTATAACAGCTTTGCCCCAGAAAGTATCCTTCTATCTCTTTAGGGGAAAAGTTAGATTTTTCATTCTTTTCATAGTAGGCCATACCATTTTTTTTTTTGAAATTGTAGAATTGTGGGCGATACTTATGTGAACAATTCCTATTAAGACACTTTTTTTGATCAAGTCAATAGTTTATACACAATCAATAAAGTTCATGATTTTGTCATAGTGGTCGGGTGGTGTAGTGGTAAGCGTGACTGCTTCTCACCATCACTCCAAGAGACCGATGGGATTTTTCCTAGGGGCACGCAATAACCTTTAACTCCAACGCAGGCAACGGCTGTAATTAAATTAATTCCATTAACTACTGCTTTCATTACATAAATTACACAATGTAGAACATTAACTACTTTTTAACTCCATTAATTACAGTTGAAATTTTGTAATTAAAGTACATTAATTACATCTTCAATACTTTTAATTACACTAGAGTCGCTTTTTACGCGTTTTTTTTACACGGTTTTTTTACTCGGTTTTTTTTTCGCGGATTTTGGATTTTTTTTACGTGGATTTCAGAATTTACGCGGTTTATCATTATACACTGGAGTCGCTTTTTACGCGGTTTTTTTACACGGTTTTTTACACTTTTTTTTTTTACGCGGATTTCGGAATTTTTCCCCTTTTTTTTACGCGGATTCCGGAATTTAAACGGTTTTTTTTACGCGGGACGTATCACCCGCGTAAAAAGCGACTCCATTAATTACGGATAGATAATTTTAAATACCGTCAGTACTACTTCAAAACGCATTAATTACTTTAAGGGGTTACGCCTACCTGCAAACTTTCAAAAAATCGATTTTTTTTTATTGTCCTAATCGAAAGTATATAAAGTCAAGAATATTTCCTCAAAAGATCAAGTTGATCCGATGAAAATTGTGAAAGTTATGCGACGTACAAAAATATTCACTTAAACGCGATTATCTCGGAATCATATTTTCAAAACCGGTGCCAAAAATTTCTCGAAATGTATACATTCGATTCGTCCGATTCATTTTGATTTCTGTTCAGTACTATTTTGTGCATTTTAACTTCAATGCACCGGTCCTTTGTATTGCGTGCCCCTCGTTTTTCTGAGGCATAAAAATCTCTGGTCACGTCTTCCTTCGGAAGGGAAGTAAAGCCGTTAATCCCGACCCATGTGTGGAAGCTGCCTCCCTGCACATTCGATTATCGCCGCACTAGATTGCGAAACAGAGGTCCATAATTATATTTAAAATTCGCTTGAATTCTATCTATAATTCCCATACAATCCACCTCAGAATTGTCTTTAAATTTTGCACAGAATTATATTCTCCTCATTTTTCTGAAAATTAATCTGAAATTTTCCATAAAATAGAACTCAACCTGTCCTATACAAGTTCAAAGTTTATTTTCCAATTTTTGATTTTTTCAGATTTTCTAAATTTTACCGAACAGTTATGCAATTAAAAAATAACTGAATAACTAAAAGCAGAATCCTGCTCAAAGGTCTTGAAGTTTTGTGGATATCATTTCCCCGATTTGTCATCGAAATTTCTCAGGTTTTTTCGGTGGCTTCGAATTCCCGATTTTTTCCAGGTTTACCTGATTTCCCAGTTCACTGGTCACCCTGTCAAACGTACAAATAATCCTAACGACGAACATTTTTAGTTGCTTTTAAAGCATCAATATATTGTTCTACTTTATTTACAAACGTGAGTAAAGTTCTGTAAAATACTAAGTAAGAGCAGGACAACTTGGCTGCATGTACCAATTTTTTTTTTAAGTTTATTTTTTCTTGAGATACGATTATTCAGCACAACTTGTCCCTTTACTAAATCTTAAAGATTCCAGAGTTTGTTTAAAAGTGTGACTCATCATTGAAAAGGTTGTTCAAAAGAGCTCATCAATGATTCTATTCAAGAGACTGTTTCAATGTTTGAATAAATTTTGCATCAATTCGCCACATCTGGCTGAAATCTTCAAATCCGCTTTCGGGTCGCCACGTGTCTGACCAATGTTGACTATTGCTACCGGTAGTCCTAATTCCTTTGCCTGAAGTACAATTCTGTAGCCGGAAAAGACGGTGAGACTGGAACCGAGCACCAAAACACCATCCGACTCGATGATCATTCGCACCACTCGCTCAATGCGTGGTATCGGGACGTTATCACCGAAGAACACAATCTCCGGCTTCAAGGATCCATCGCAATGTGGACAAGGTGGAATTTTGAAGTTCTCCACGTATTCCTGAGGCAGTTCTACGTCTCCATCTGGCCGCATCATAGTTGATCCATCTTCCATACGGGGGTTCAGTTGATCCAGTATGGACTGAAATTCGTGTCTAGGAATATGGTAATCACAACCTTTACCTGACCGACCGATACAGATAACGTTATATCCGCTGCCATGAAGCTCAACTACGCTCTTCGATCCTGCCTTGGTGTGCAGCTTGTCAACGTTCTGTGTCACAATGCCCGATATCCGCTGTTCCCGCTCCAAACGGGCTAGGGTGTAGTGGGTAACGTTCGGAGCGATGGCCGAAAACCGTGACCAGCCTACATAGTTTCGTGCCCAATATCTTTTGCGCACAGATTCTGATTTAACAAAATCTCCGTGCTGAATTGGTTTGTGGTTGGACCGGGCATAGAGTCCAACACCTTCGGACCGATAATCTGGTATTCCTACATAGGATAAACAAAAATCAAATCAGTATTCGCGAGCCGCGAATATTGAATACCTAATAGGAATCTTACATACCTGACTCAGTGGAGATACCGGCGCCCGTTAGCACAAGAATGTGTGGCTTATCATCAAGAAATTTCTCCAATCGATACAGATCACTTTCCAAGGCAGGCTCGTGTGCAGGAACGAATATCGACTTGGAACTGAAGCAAGCGCGCGTCCCAATAAGACAACGAGGAGTTAAGATTGAGCGCATTTTGGTAGAGATAACACAGTCACGAACGAATATTTTACTTTTAAAACAAACTTTAAGAACGATTACCCAATGTTATGCATTAACACCCTAGCACCAAAATATTTACAAACTCGAATAATGTCAATTTTTTTATGTTGAGAACGTTGAGAACGGAAAGAAGTGAGATTCGCCCTTATCAACAGTGAGTTGAACAGCACCGAAGTTAGCCCGATCAATATTGCGTATTTCACACGAAACTGAACTGAAGCGCATTTTCACTTGTTAAAAAGTGTGATAAACATTCGAGTTTCCATCTAATCGCCTTCGGTGCACTTATTTCTTATGATAACAAACTACTCCAAAGACACCAAAATGATATGGCGGAAACGTGCTTTTTTTGTGCTGTCCAGTTTCAGATGCAATCAGCAATAACCCTAATAAACTGGTACCATACACTAACGATATCATAGATGGTTCGTCCATACCACATAAAATTGGGATGATATCCCGAATTGGTGGTTAGGCGCTTCTTATGGTTATTGTTTATGCGGGAACTTAAGCCTGGTACGCAGCTGAAAAGAAAACGGAAAAGTAATTTTCCTCCCTTTTTATGACACAGACCTGTCGGTCCATATTTGAAAGTAATTTTTGAGGATTATTCCCAAAAGAAAATTTGACAGCTATAGGCAGGTGTCTTTTGATAAATGTTGAGATCATAGCGAGGTGTCGTCAAATTTTAAAATCAACGATTATCAGTTTTCATGTTGTTTTTTTTTTTTTCCTTGATTTGTTTTCCGTGCTGAGCACCAATGCTACCGACGCCAGGAAGGCAGCTCGCACACCTGGACCCTACCTACCGACCCATCAACTCATGAACCTGGGACCAACGGCTTTACTTCCCTCAGAGATGTTATGCCTCAGAACATCCCGGCTACGCCTGCTGGGGTGGGAGATAATCACGCTTACCACTACACCACCGGCGCCGCTTTTTTGTTGTTAAATACATCCAAAACATCATTTTACAAACAAACGTTAAAATTACCTAACGGAATAATTGATCAGACCATTATTCCACAAGGAAAGGGAAAAGGTGGCGCATTCTGTATGAAATTTCACTTTCCTTGCGGTCCGAGGTGCGACAAATAAAGTGACAGTCAAACCGTGATACGAATTTATGAAGCAAATTTAATTGAAATCCGTTAAATGAAATGTAAAATGGATTACTTTCGTCCCCCTCGTTGATTTCAGCTTCTTCAATTGGTTTGTCTGCCAATGGAGGTTCGATGCAATCTGGGGAACGCTCATAATCGAGTATGTTTTCCCAATCAATGCTTGACAGCACGTCGGCAATGCTACAACCGGTGGAAACTAAGGATTTAAAATTGGCTCACTACACAGCAAAAAAAAATGTAATATCGATCAACGTAATTCAAGCTGATGTATGAAATAATGATGTAATAGCAAAAAGCAGATACAATATTACATCAATGGATGTAATTTTGTTCGCAAAATCGATGTACATCGTACAATGTGATATTACACAACCGATGGATTGACCAGGTTGCAGCAGTTTCGATGTAATATTCAACAACTTTTTTTGCTGTGTACTTGACTAGCCTATCGGTCCTAAGTACATCTATAAGCACAAACGAAGTGACAGACGACTAACTGGCGAAGAAATCAATTAAAATAATGTGGTTCGCTGTAATAGAATTTTCCTAGAAGCTTGTGCCATCATCCACCAGATGGAATAGTATTTTGTTTTGGTTTTGCACAATGTTGATTTTGTGTACAATGATTCTTTGACAGTGTGCAAAGAGTGCGTATCATTTTGTCATTTTTTTATGCATTTCAGTTTTTAGTAGAGTGAAAGAGATAGAACCAAAACATTCTAGTACATTTGGTGATGTGGTACAATCCAGTAGTAGTGGTGTTGCCATGTGGTACACTGAAAAATTGCAATAGCAGGTTAGTCACCAAAGTTTTCGAGCCGCTCCGTCTGTCACTTCGTTTGTGTCTATAAGCACAAACGAAGTGACAGACGGAGCGGCTCGAAAACTTTGGTGACTAACCTGCTATTGCAATTTTTCAGTGTACCACATGGCAACACCACTACTACTGGATTGTACCACATGGCAACACTACTATTGGATTGAACTAGCATTTTCACCAAATGTACTAGAATATTTTGGTTCTATCTCTTTCACTCTACTCAAAACTGAAATGCATAAAAAATGACAAAATGATACGCACTCTTTGCACACTGTCAAAGAATCATTGTACACAAAATCAACTTTGTTCAAATCAAAACAAAAAAACTAACCCATCTGGTGGATGATGGCACAAGCTTCCAAGAAAATTCTATTACAGTGAACCACATTATTTAAATGGATTTCTTCGCCAGTAAGTCGTCTGTCACTTCGTTTGTGCTATAAGCGTACCCCATTCTAGTCGAAATTCTAGTACTACGCAAGGTTTGTTTTGATTATACACTGATACAAAATCCATTGGCAAAATACTATATTGCTGGTTTAAATTAAATACCCTTACCAATAGATTTGTGCAGAAAACAATTTCATTTAATTTTACTATTATTTCTATCAAAATTACTATGCATTTTGAGCAAGCATAGTAGTTTCGCCAGAATCATAGTAAATTGTTTTACATTCGTAGTCAACTATACTGAATTCATAGTAGATTTAACAGTAATAAGCGTGGTTATATTGATAATAAGTGTTTTCTGCAAAATAGTATTCCTAACTATGATCCTTGTTTCAGTGTAGATACTATACACGGTTAGAAAAAAGTACCCAAAATTAAGTTCTTTTCACTCATCTCGGCACTATAGTGCAGGAACCCAAAAGTAGGTAAAGCTGGTCAAAGTAATTTTCATTTACTTGTGTGCAGTTCGTATGGAATTTCCCACTAGTTTTTTAACCAAAAGTAAGTTAGTTGTACCCAACAGTAGGTAAATATTATTATACCCAACGTTGGGTTCCCACACTTTACTACACCTGTTGGGTGGTTTTGCTCCTTCTTTTTTTACAACATTAGAAGGAGAAAATGAGACACTACACAGAAAAAAAATGTAATATCGATCAATGTCATTCAAGCTGATGTATGAAATAATGATGTAATAGCAAAAAGCAGATATAATATTACATCAATGGATGTAATTTTTTTTCGCAAAATCGATGCTACCGACGCCAGGGAGGCAGCTCCCACACAGCTCCGAAGGAAGGCGTGATCAGAGATGTTATGCCTCAGAACATCCCGGCGGGGGTGAGAGGCAATCACGCTTACTACTACACCACCGGCACCGCTTTATATTTTTAACTGTAAGCAGGACAAGAGTAAAATCGATTGTCGCGTGTGGGGTTTCCGGTTTTCAACAGTTCCGACACAATTTTCTTACCTACAGCAACTTACAGCAAAAACAAAAAAGCAAGTACGGGAGCCATTGTGTACTTTTGGTTTGTAAATATTTTGACTTGGTTAATGATATCTTTCAATATGCCCCGTAATGTGGGTAGATCACCTTTTCGTGGTACGTTACGGGATGTAAGATCTACCACCGATTCCTAGTCCTGACTACTTCAAACTAGGGGAACAGGATTTTTCAGTAATCCAAGGAACACACCTTAGTCATTGTTACTTTTTATGCCTTGTTGATAGTTACAAGACTCGGCTTTGTCTACCGAGGATGATCTTTAAACAAGGAAAAAAATGAGTTAGTTGTCTCCATCTATGTGATTCGTAATCTTCTATTCGTTGTTCCCTAGTTCCTGACTAGGGGAACAGGATTTTTCAGTAATCCAAGGAACACATCTTAGTCCTTGTTACTTTTTATGCCTTGTTGATAGTGACAAGACTCGGCTTTGTCTACCGAGGATGATCTTGAAAGAAGGAAAAAAAATGAGTTAGTTGTCTTCATCTATGTGATTCCTAATCTTCTATTCGTTGTTCCCTAGTTTGAAGTGGTTAAGACTAGAGTTCTGATGCATGGTCATTATCAGTGTCATACCTTAATTTTGTTGCTAAGGAATCCAATTTTGACTGACAAAGGGACGCGCCTTTGGAGGGTGTTTCAACACCCAGAAGGGTATAAATAGCGGGACCTTTCAATAAGAGTCAGATCCTTGCGATAAATGCAAGAGTGGCAACTGTAAAAAAATCGAATACTTCATCATTTCTCAATAGTGATGGAGTAATACCAACAATCAATACGAAACTAACGATTTTAAATTGGCTCACCACTTTAGTAGCCTATTGGTCCCAAGCAAACGATTAACGTACCCTATTCTAGTTGAAATTCTATTACTACACTATGTTTGTTTTGATTCGCTATGAAAGTTTGACAGATAACATCAGGGGTGTGTGGATTCATGCAGAACATGCAGGGGTGAGTGAAATAGCTTGGGACTGCTTGGGACCGTTGTTCTGGTACTGAGTGAGCCAAAAATAATAATGATTTTCTTCGGGACCCAGTGGTCTTAGAGTTACCTCTATGGTAATACGACATGCACTAAACTAAGGACACGGGATATACTACAATAGATCAATTTACTGGTCGCAGTAGTGTTAGGTCCCGAACAGAGGAAAAAAAAATCTTTCAATATTGATTTGAGTAAAGGGGTAAGAGGGAAATAGTGAAGAGGTGGGGTATAATGAGCATCCCGCACACCAGTACCAAACCTCTAATTGTTCGAAGCAAATTAATAAGGTTCAATAATCACCCATACTTACCTTACCAATTGTCCTCTGCTGTCCGAAGAAGTCGTCTCCACTCTACTCGATCCATGACCACACTTCGCCAGCCTCGAAGGGTCCGCAGGTCGCCTTCTACTTGGTCGATCCATCTTTCCCGCTACGAACCTCTTCTTCTTGTTTCTGTTGGGTAGCTTTCGAGAACCATTTTCACTGGGTCGTTGTGCGGCATTCTTATGACGTGCCCAGCCCAACGTAGTCGCCAAATTTTTGCAATGTGGACGATGGATGATTCTCCCAGCAGCTGGTGCAATTCGTGGTTCATTCTCTTCCTCCACGTTCCGTCCTCCATCTACACTCCACCGTACGCAACGCCTTCCGTTCGCGTTGGTCCTCCACGAACATAGTCATAATCAGCGTCTTATAGATAGTCAACTTCGTGCGGCGGCGAATTTTATTCGATCGGAGTCCAAAGTAGGCACGATTCCCTGCCAAAATGCGTCTTTGAATTTCTCTGCTGGTATAATTTTCGGCGGTCACCAGTGAACCCAACACCTCGATTTCGTTACCGTCAATCTGAACTCGGGGTGGGAGGCTAACATTGTCTTCGATAGAACCTCTTCCTTTCATGTATTTTGTCTTCGATGCGTTGATGGCAAGTGCAATCCGCCTAGCGTCAGTCTTCAGACTGAAGTACGTTTCCACCATCGTCTCAAAGTTCCGTGCCATGATGTCGATGTCATCGGCGAAGCCAAGAAGCTGGATGGACTTCCTGAAGATCGTGCCACTGGTGCTATTCCAGCTCTTCTGATCACACCTTCTAACGCGATGTTGAATAGCAGACACGAAAGTTCATCACCTTGCCGTAACCCCTTTCGAGATTCAAAGGGACTCGAGAGTGTCCCCGATACTCGAACAACGCACATCACTCGATCAATCATCGCCTAGACCAATCGCTCCAGTTTATCCTGAAATCCGTACTCATGCATAATAACCCTTGCAATGCTTAATGACCAATTAATTGAACCATAAGAAATCCAAGGCTAAAGCTCACTATGCTTCTCCTTCCCCTATTCAATTAATTAATTTAAAAAAAACGGTATCCCATTGAATAAGATAGCTGGAAACGATGATTGTACGACTTTTCCCCGAATAACAGTTTCTCCGAAATATTATTCTTACTTACAGATCTTACTTGGTGAATTGCTATGTACATGTCAAGATTGGCGCGTCGGAATCGGATGTTTTCTCAAACAACTCGGGAGTTCCGCAAGGCAGTAACCTAGGACCGCTACTATTTTCGATCTTTTTAAACGACGTCGTCTTTATGATACCATCAGGATGCCGCGTTTTCTATGCAGACGATACGAAAATCTACAAAATTATTTAAAGCCTCTTGGACTGCTGGAATCTCCAAAATATGTTAGGTATTTTTGCTGACTAAAATGTAACATTATTTCCTATCACCCTGCCTATCACCGAAAAATCGAACCAATCATGTTTGACTATGTTCTCTATTGACGCTGTCTTGCTCGTGTAGAGCACATAAAGAATCTCGGCGTTACCTTGGACTGCAGACTCGCTTTCATCTCCAGAGCTAATCGACAATTGGGCTTTATTTTCAAAATTACCGACGAGTTCCGTGACCCGCTATGCCTCAGGTCATTTTACTGCTCGCTTGTGCGATCCTTATTGGAGTCATATTCGCTCAAGCTATGTTCGCTGGAAAGCTGCCCACGGGTGACATTGACTGTCCAACACTGCTGTCACAGCTAAATATGTATGCCCCTGAGAGGTCTCTTCGTCAACGCGACTTTCTGTTTTTGGAACCACGGAGCCGGAATTATACACAATACGAGTCAATTCGAGCAATCAGCCGGCAAGGCAATTCAACAACTTTTTTATATGTTCGACTTCAATGTATCAGCTGACGTGTTTCGTCATCGGCTACTTGGCCTTTTCCGTACCGTTGACCGTAACTATTTAGTTTAAATTTTATTCATTTAGACAATAATTGTCAGTTGAATTTTTCAATAAACAATAAAACAATAATTCCCTGAATATTAGGCAAGCCTACCCAAACTGAATTTCTAACATGAGATTATTCATATTTTAAGAGTATAGGTTGCAGCCTGTTGAGGCTCAGTTTTCGGAGCCTGCATCTGAACCAATGAAGCCACTACTCACACGCCAGAAGAAACAATCAATGACGGCTAAAATGGCAATGCCAGGATCCATTGGGATGGCGTGTTAATATAGGAAGGTGGGTTAGCGTACCTATGCATTTCTGGTCTTACGTGTGTCATCGGTTAATTGGGGTTGCTGAGTCGTCGGTTGACTTCATGAGTTGCTATTCATGTTGCTCTGGGCCAAATTCATCGCCGATTCAGCTGCTCTCATTATTAGGTCCTCATCACTGAATCCGGGGAAGTATGATGGAACTAGATCTTCACTTTCTCTATCCCAGTCAGAATCGGTGCTAGTCTTCCGAAAGTTTCCCATGTTATTTCTGATGTGTTCCACGGCATTTCAACGGAAGTCCATTATCTTTGTATGATGATCAATTTCTGTAAAATCTCAAACAAAAACTCAAATTTCATGTGGGAGTTTGTTCAATTTTTATCTTGCAAGATTCATCTACGCAAAAATCATCGATGAGTTTTTAGGTTCAAAAATTCATTGCTTTTTTTTCCTTCGATCTTGTTTTCCGTACTTATCAATGCTACCGACGCCAGGGAAGCAACTATCACACCTGGACCCTACACCTATCGACCCATAAATTCATAGACCGGGGACCAACGGCTTTAGTTCCCGAAGGAAGGCGTAATCCGAGATTTTGTACCTCAGAAAATCCCGAAGGCGCCGACTAATTCATCGCTTTATATTTTGGCGTTATTCATTGCTATTATTGTTATTTTTGCATCCGTGTATGGAAAATTAATGCAACAAGCATTTTCCGAACACTGATGATGATCGTAAGTTCCTAGTTTTTCTTATAAAACTGTACCAGTAGCGCAGAAAATAGACAGTGCCCATGTCCGGATATTTTATTAACGAGCATCACTCCATTTTCGTATCGCATGTGCTCCATTTTGCTGCTCTCCTTCCACTTTTACTTTGTTTACTCCATGTTACCGAAAAAGATATAGATATATAGATTATTATGAATTATGTGATATTTACACAACGGGATGGCCGTTCAGAATTGTTGAACGGATGTGAAATGAGGGAACATTTACATTTAACACGATTTGCAACATTCAATTTTTTAAAGCGGTCAAACCCAAACATGGGGAAATATTGAACCAAAACATGGGTAAATGTAAGCCAAATTTACATAAGAATAATTCCTATATGGATCATATTTACGCATATTTGGATTAAAAAATTACCCATATTTGGGTTTGTCCGCTTTCCGACCAATCTGAATAAACTGAATCTACACTCAAAAAAGTTCACACGTCTGATCGAAGTGTTTTTTTCAAATACACAATCATATTTATTTTAAGTGTATTTCACCTTGGTGCAATAGGGTGCAATGTGTTATACACTCGGTGATTTCATATCAGTTGAAGTGTATTTTGCACATTGCATCAAAACAGATGGGTTTTGCATTTTCAATGCGATGTGAGTTCTTGACCAACAATTGGCCAACTGTAAGCCGACCGAGCAGCAGACAATGAACAATGTACTCGGGACAATAGCCTCTACCGGCTATGTAAACGTGTGATCCACACCGAGAGAACGTATCAAATCCGTTCAAACCTGCGTTCCTTGGCTCCAGTTTTCTCGGCATGATTACCTCGCCCTCGCTAACGTTTCTGTCAACTCTTTCGCGTTCAGGTTCGGGAGGGCGTTGTCTGCACGGAGTGCTTCAAAAAAGAGATTCTTTTTTTTTCCTTTCCTTTATTTAACGTCGGTCTCTGTTCCGCAATCTAGTGCCAATCACCGACGGACATCGATTGACATCCATTGACGGCAATCGAATGTGCAGGAAGGCAGCTTCCACACCTGCGTAGGATATCGCACCCATTCAACACATGGGCCGGGACCAACGGCTTTACTTCCCTTCCGAAGGAAGACGTGACCAGAGATTTTTATGCCTCAGAAAAATCCCACCGACCTCGGCTGGGATTGAACCCAGACCCATTGGGGTGTTAGATAGCAGTCACGCTTACCACTACACCACCGGCGCCGGCAAAAGAGATTCTTGCAGAAAATCTTTATTCGACCTACTCTGCGTGGCGTGTGAGGTGAGGTGACTCGTTGTCACTAGTGAAGTGACAATTGTCACTTCCACTCGCTTGTTCTCGTCCCTCGTATTATCACAGGTGTCCGTTGGATGTTGTAGCGAATCACTTGATGCTCACTGACTCTCCAGTTCATATTTGCTGCTAGCGACGTACTGCAGAAAGTGACGTCGATGACCGATTCCAAACCATTTTTGCGGAAGGTGGAAAATAATGCGCTTTCTCCTAAGTTGGCAATTCCGTATTTGCTGGATTGAAATAGAAACGGGTGCTTAAATATAACACTTATTTCCAAATCGTTGCTGTTAGTTGATCGGGTGCAATTAAAAACGAATTTTGATTAATTCGACATCTTGCTTCTTCCTCTCTTATTTACAGACAGCAGCTGAATTCGATGGTGATATACCACTGCCAAATAAGAAATACCTGAGAATGTGTTGTCTTATACAAGATTTATCATTTGTATCACTTTACGTCGTAAACTATTATTATAGAAGATGTGTTTGTCTATGTATGTATGTTTCGACTTTAATGCTTACTGTTTGATCTCCCTTACTATTACTGTTTGAAAGAAACAATAATATTATGTACTAATAACTCATACTATTCACCATTTCAAGTGTTGTAGTAGGTTGTCACACCGCGGTTTGCCGTTGGTTTATTGTATTTTGTTGTCCCACAATCCGATGGTAGTTCCTCGAAATGTTGTTCAACAGGCACATCGGAAGCTGATTGGTTTTCGATTTCTTTTTCTCGGGTATGTGTGTGTGTGTCAGAAAATTGAAACTAAACTGGAATATTCCCGCAAAGCAAATAGCTTTCTTCTGCCGCATCATTTGTAATACAATAGCTTACTGTTCTACCATAATATAAATACTAACTGTTGTAATAGTAATGGGTTGTTTTATTCTGTTTTAGTTTTATTATATTATGCGTAGTTTCTATTCCTCCTTCATTCTCGTTCTCGATAGGCAGTTGAGTCCTTTTCCAATTTAGCAATCGTCATGTTTTACAAAACTCAATTTAATTTGCATTCCACCAGCGAAGGAATATTAAACTAACAAAATAATAAACGCATCCTTCTTTGTTTCTATACACAATGCTCTTTCTATCTTGATTTGTGATAGGTTTTGAGTATATCTTCTTTAATAACACAAGACATATTTCGTTTCCTATTACAGTCCAGTATACTTATCTTCGATAATCTACAAGTGATAATTTAAAAAAAAGGTGACAGCAATGATAAAAAAAAACAATAGAAGCGGATTGATCCGATTTATGCAGCCTAAAATATTAAAATTCTACACAGTACTACATACCTGTCGGCAAAGAGATGGAACGTCGGAGCAGGATCGTGATAAGGTAGAAGGGACATTCGAACAGTCGATAAGGGTAGGGCGCATACAGGAAAAGATGACGTTTTTGAAGTTCATGTTCCAATTAAGTATATAACGGCCAGGAACTGAACCTGGTGCCATAGGACGTCATCGTTGACCGTGGTGGTGTTGGATCGTACATCGGCAGGCCTTTGTCCGCTTTTATAAGAAATAGTCGGCCTGCGGTTTCTTCGATGGAATTCCACGGCTTTCCTGAGGAGCAGCTTCAAAAATTGTGAAATCGCGTTGCAGGTTTTCGTTCAGTTCCAAAATTGCCGCAACGTTACCGCATCTAGAATGTTTATAACATCATTATTAACACATTTCGAAATTCCTACATTGAGTTCCAAATACCCACCTATAGCAGTAGTTAGGTGCAGACCAAACAGTCAGAACAGTTTCATTAAAGTGCCATTTGTAGCCTTCCATAACAAGCTGATGGGCGCGGCAGATCATGTCGATATCGTTGGCTGCATTAAACTGTGAAACGACATCCGATCCGAAAAGATAACCGGCCCCACGAGGCGAAACTCCCCAACCATGGGTATCTTCCGGATCACTCCACAGCAGATCGCACATGGGTCCATCATGCGGTACCTCCTGTTTCCGGTCAATCGAACGGATTTGATCTAAATACTGAATCGAAGGTGACAGACCACCGTGCACGCAGAAAATCTTTCCATCGATGATTGCCGACAGCGACAAGTAGTCGAAAATTTCCGTACAATAACGCCATACCGTTACCGAACCGTACTTGCGGAGACATTCGTCGTAGAATCCGTAGACTTGTGTGATCTGACGGGACTCATGGTTACCGCGGATAAGCGTAATACGATCCGGGTAGCGTACCTTCAGTGCTAACAGCAGTAGAAACGTTTCCACACTGTAGTAGCCCCGATCTACAAAATCTCCCATAAACAGGTAGTTAGTCTCGGGCACATCGCCTCCGACTTTGAACAGCTCCTTAAGATCATAGAATTGACCATGAATATCACCGCATACCTGAAATCATGACAAACGTTATTCCAAACCGTAAAAAATCAAACCCCACCAAGTCAAAACTCGCTACTCACCGTTACCGGAGAATCGACCCGCTGAACGTTTCCTTCTTCGACCAGAATTTCGCGAGCCTTCGCGCATAGAGCCTTCACCTCATTCTCCTTGATGATCTCGCAGCGTTTCAATTGTTCTATCTGCCGGTCTAAATCGCTATAATCTGGCATTTCTCGATTGATTTGTTTACAGACACCTTCTGCCCCTTGCTTCGTTCCCGGCTAGTCCAACCTCCGACCCGGTAGACGCTTTTCCGAGACGCTTCACTGGTGGCTGGTTGTTGCTTTCCTTACACGCTTTTTTCCTGACGACGGGACTTGGGATTGAATGTGTCTGTCGCGCTAGACGTACGTGTGTGAGTGCGCGTGAGAAGAGTTTTCTTTCTTTTGGCTATTCAATGCGAAAAACTGCAAAAGAAGAAGTTGTAAATCAAGAACAATGCAGCAAAAAATAGTGCATGATTCCTGGAACGGATGCAAGGATTTCGACGGAAATCCTATGAAACCTAAAATTACCCTCAATCAGGCACTTTCTGCAGCCACGAACATTTAAGTGAACCAGAAAGAAAGTGCGACACTTTGATTGGAATGGTTCCATTGCTTGCTTACCTTCAGGTTGGAATAATTCTCGCTATAAGCTTACTTTGTAAACGCCAATTAGCTCACTGCAAGCGCTTGGAAAAAAATTGGCCGAATGCAGAGCGATAATAAGTGTTTTATGAGTGTTTCACCACTAATTTTACGATAATTTCAGCACAAAATTCTATACCCAAGCACTGGAACTCGGCTGCCGCGAATTATTCGACGTCGTGAAGCAGCCGCCGTCTTAGAACACTGTAAAAAAACTTTGTTGAACGTCAAATCAAGTCGGAGCTACCAACCTTGCAGACCAAAACTCGTTTCTTTTTATTTCGGAATGAAAGCGGGGGACTACAGAATGAGCTAATTCCAAAATTCGAGAAAAGGGTGAATTGGGTTCTTTAAGGGTATTGATGTAAATGCATATTCGTAATCTACATTAAAAATGGAACCGAAACCCAAAAGTTCATCAATTTTGGTATACTGGAACTATTTGAGTATCCAGGCTTGAAATTGCTCATTACAGCTAATACCCCGTTCACATTACAGCGTATATCACGTGATATACGCTGTCTTGCAATGAGCACTCATACATCTAGTTTTCACTGGAAATCCAATGTATGAGTGCTCATTGCAAGACAGCCTGTATTACGTGATATAGGCTGTAATGTGAACGGGGTATAAAATGCTATTTTTCGTAATTATGAAACAATGATATATAAATACAAATAAAAATTATACAAATAAAAATTATCATTATAGTATACTATAATGATAATTTTTATTTGTAAGATGCAAGAAGAGGTGGTAAAGTTTGTGTATGACATATAAAATTTGTCAATTTTGCTTTCAGAAGGTCACAACTTTCATACACTCAAGTCGAATGATTTTATCATCAGCAATCAGTTATGTTTGCTTACACGGAGAAAAATACTACCCAAAATTTAAGTTCTTTTTACTTAATATTGACTTCAGCCTCTCACTTGCACTCGTTATTGTTTTCAAAAAAGGAACAAGAGCTTCGACCCAACGATACACACCAAAAATCTGAAACAAGTTCCAGCAAAATTAATTGCTGAACTGCTTCCAGCAAAAACATTTCTTGCTGAACAACCAGCAATCCATAAAAAATGCTGGATTTTACAAAAATCTTTTTGAAACGTCAAAGTTTTTTTTATTTATTTTTCGAGTCAAGAAGTGTACGAATTTTGAATCATTCCATTAATTACATGAATGGTAATTTAATCATGGAGTAAGTATTTTTAACTTTAAGTTAACTTAGTGTAAAAGATTATTTTCTCTTTATTTATCGCCTTTTCATCTGAATCAAACTATTGAATGGCCAATGGAATGTTTTCAAAATAAGCCCAGTTTTTTTTATCGTTTGTTCAAAAATTGTCTCTTCATATGAGAAAATAAAGTTTTGTACGATTGTATTACTGTAAACCAGTGTACTAAAGTGTTTTTCAGAAAAAAATTCTATCAAGAATGTTATAAATAATTTAAACAATTGAGTATACGTATAGTTCAGCCGAGAGTTCAGCCGAGAGTTCAGCCCAATAAGTTACTTTTGAGTAAATTGCATATTCTCAAATCAACGTGAATTAAACTTAATTTAGGGTAGAATAAACTTAAGAGTAGGTAAATTTTTGCTGGTGTTAAATGGAAACTACTATATGCGATTTACTCAAATTTGGGTTATTGGGCTGAACCCCGGAATTGAGGGAAAAGTACTGGGTGGTTTTTCATCTCCGTGTACATTTCAAAATAATGTTTTTTCTATGTTATCCGATAATCAGTCACATATTAACAGGCACATTAAAGCCGGCGCCGGTGGTGTAGTGGTAAGTGTGACTGTTTTCTAACACCCCGATGGGTCTGGGTTCAATCCCAGCCGAGGTCGGTGGGATTTTTCTGAGGCATAAAAATCTCTTCGGAAGGGAAGTAAAGCCGTTGGTCCCGGCCCATGTGTGTTGAATGGGTGCGATATCCTACGCAGGTGTGGAAGCTGCCTTCCTGCACATTCGATTGCCGTCAATGGATGGCAATCGATGTCCGTCGGTGATTGGCACTAGATTGCAGAACAGAGACCGACGTTAAATAAAGGAAAGAAGAAGAAGAAGAACAGTCACATTAAGCGTATGTTTTTCATCATGAACCAAAATGAATATATTTCTCCATAGCCCCTTTATGAAAATCATTCTATTGCAGGTTTATCATAATCTTTCGGTTATTTATCATATTAGTTAGCAAATGGTGGCGAACAAACAGAATTGTGACTGCGCGAGTATTTAAATATTATAGAAACATGTAATTATACAACCATTTCATTAGAGATGACTCATGTAATCTCAACAGTACACACAAAAAATAATCGTTAATAAATTAAAAAAAAAACATTGGTAAAATTAAAAGTTAGCGTTGTTTTTTTTTTGGTAGAAAGTATTTAGCATTAAAAACTAAAGTCCCCTAACTGTCAATTCAAAAGTAGCTCTCTATCTACTTTTACAAGTTGAAACTTTCAAATCGAATTGTAGAACTGTCAAACTGAAAGCCTATAGTTTTTAAATTGACGTATAACAAATTTTAATTCAAATTATAAGCATTTTAATCGCAATTACATACGTTTTTATCTTAAATGTGAATTAGTTTTAAATCAATTACTTTTATTTTTTAAAAGAAATAACCAGGGAAATTCCTTGTATTCTAATTTATTTTTTATACTAATTATATTGTCCATTTCAAAGCAGCAGAAGTGACGCTCCCGATGCTTTTACAATATGAATTGTATTATTTTACAGATTGTTGATCAAAGCTGGAATAATTTGCTCCTGACGGAATCGGTGTGGGGGTGTGGGGGTACTTGAATGAAAGTGGCATCTTGATGGGGGTGAGAGTCGAGGTGGGAGTAACCTTCCTTTCCGGCAAGACCGAGGCTGCTGAAAATTAAAACATCTCAATTAGAACAATCGGAAATTCATTGAAAATTATACCAAATTACCGTCAATTCCAGCACATGAATTGTTTCTTTTGCCATCATTGCTGCCATGTTATGATAGAGTTTATGTTTATTCTAAGATTGCTTCCCTCCGTTGGCTGCTTTGACGATCATCTGCAATCCGATGAAAATGAATTAGAGGTGCCGTACCACTTTTTGGGAACCGATTCCAGTTCGAAAGAGATACCGACGGAAGAGTTATGTGGAAACGCTAAACTTTTAAATTGAAATTGCATTATTTTTATTACAACAATTTTTGTTTTTTGTGTGATTATCAAATTAACAACATTTTTACTGAGTAATGCTGATAACTGATTGAAATGGTTGTGTAATTATTTATTTCAATAATATTTCTGAAAATCAGATGCTTCTATTACTCCAACTACATAGATATGGGCATCATTTAAATACGATCTGATTTTCTGCATGGGGCTTGGGTGAGGCAAAAATCATTCAGTAGGCGGCGGGTGTTTTGGTTCAGTGTAGCTAATTAAAACAAATATAGTGTAGTACTAGAATTTCGACTAGAATGGGGTACGTTAATCGATTTGCTTGGGATCAATAGTACAAACGAAGTGACAGACGACTTTCTCCGAAGAAATTAATTAAAATAATGTGGTTCTCTATAATAGAATATTATTCGTTATGAGTCGAAATCTATTTTTTTTCCCGTACAATAATTTAACAATAAATTTTAATGTAACCGATATTCAACAGTAAAAATCAATGTTATTTCATTGTTTTATTATAATTATTTTTTTTTCGGGCACCTTCCGCCCCTCTTTTTTCGCTAGTATTTTTGTTTTGAATTTATTCAAGTTGGTTTTGTGTGCAATGATCTGGCAACTCGCGTTTTCGCTCGCGTTGACGGGGTGCTGTTTTCTCCAAGGGGGGGAGGTGGCTGTCAAATACGAACAATCGTCGCCTACCTCGCATAACTGGTTCCAAACGTAAACAAGCCATAAGAAACCTACAGCGTTTGTTTACGTTTGGAACCAGTTTCATACAAGATGATCAGTAGGCTGATTTGACAGCACACCCCCCCCCCAGGTTTTCTCACTCATCGACGAAATTTTGATTAGAGTGAGAAAATAAGGAACAGTCAGCGTGGGAACCGTGTGCGTTACTATAGGTGCGGCAGAAGGAATGTAGTGCACTCTTTCGTTGTCACGATATTCTTACGCATGATCCAACCACAGACAAACAGACATAACACATTGAATATTTCTCATTGTAAAACATCGTCGCTAAAACATTACCGCCACCTGTTGAGTACACTGTGGTGGGTAGTACGCTGCACAGATGGCGGTAGTGTGTAAACGTCAAACGCAAGGGAATTTTCTATGCGCGCCACAGGTGGCAGTACTACCAACTGAGATACTTTCAAATTGACCGTTAAATGCTTGTTCGATGAACAACTTATGAGTGTTATGTCTGTTTGTCTGTGATCCAACGTTACGTCACACTACACAGAAAAAAAAAAGTTGTTGAATATTACATCCAAACTGCTGCAACCAGGTCAATCCATTGGTTGTGTAATATAACGTTGTACGATGTACATCGATTTTGCGAACAAAATTACATCCATTGATGTAATATTGTATCTGCTTTTTGCTATTACATCATTATTTCATACATCAGCTTGAATTACATTAATCGATATTACATTTTTTTTTTGCTGTGTAGATTATGCATAAGAACGTCATGATAATGAAAGAGCTGACTTGCTTCCTTCTGCCTCACCAATCTCATTGATCACAGCACTTGCGATTCTCCGTCGGTTCCTGGTGCATTCTTTGTGCCATACAGTACCTGCAAGCAGCGTGATACATGGTGATACTTGGTGACATTTGCTCATTATGGGTAATGAAATCCGGAACATTTCGACAGTGAGCATTCATAAGGGCGTAAACGCGATGATCGATTATCTTTGTCTTTACCCTTTGATAAAATCGGCATGATTTTGGAGGAAATATCACAGATCGCCCTCGAGCGAATGCATACCGAGTATGGCCACCCGAAAAAAATAATAATCGAAATAAAACAACAAAATTACAATGATTTTAACGGTTGATTTTCTGGTACATTAAAAGTTATTACACAAACAATGAAATTTAATGTGATGAGATCAAATGTGTTCAAGAAAAATCAGTTTTTTTCTTGTTAAGATGCTTGTCAACCCCCGAGTCAACCCTCCTTTTTTACTGTAAATTTCTCATATACCATGATTTTCATTGTTGTGAAC